AAGTGGTACGTGGAATATTCAATGTGTTGTGAAAATGAAATGTTACCCTTTCAAAATCATGTGAATAGAAACCACCAGTTTTATAGCTTGTGGTCAGCTGGCATGTGTATCGTAATGCATTACCCCACCACACGCCAGGTGACTGTATTATAGGTGGTCATACACGAGCAAAGATAAACAGTACTAGTACGAGACGTACAGAATTTTAGCATATAGCGCCACCTATCGTTGAGTGGAAACCCCGGAAAACACTAAACCTGTCGAAAAACACTAAACCTGTCGAAAAACACTAAACCTGACAATAAAAACACTAAACCCGAGGTAAAGGGTGTATTATGGGTGTACCATAATCGTCCAGTGAATATTTGATTAAAAGAAAGCGAAAACATGAAACAGAACATGACACGTCACGATGTTGTGCACGATGTTTATCTACAACAAGGACTGAATTTGACATGATGTAGTTTTAGGAATTTCAAATCTAAAAATATGCCAATTGCTGTGTTCATAATTTGTAAATATATAAATAAATAAAATAAAATGTTTGGTTTGGGGCACGATATACTAGTATCTAACATAGAGGGTGTCCTGCTGCCAAATCAGCTGCGGCCCTGGCCTCGATCATAAAGGGATTTTTTTTTAGCTTTCTTTTCATAAATACTTAACTGAACGATCATGGTATATCCATAATTCGCCCTTTACGAAGGGTTTAGTGTTTTTTCAACAGGTTTAGTCTTTTTCAACAGGTTTAGTCTTTTTCAATAGGTTTAGTGTTTTTCAACTGGTTTAGTGTTTTCCGGGGTTTCCACTCAACGGCCACCTATCGTTTACTTATCAACTACTGTCAGGTGACATCATGATGTCCATTGACCATAGCATAGTAGACATCTGTAGATTTCGAGCTCGATGGATGTTCTACACCTTCTGAAAAACTATTTCCAAGTGATTAAGATTCTAAATCTTAAGTCTTATAACTAGGTATACCCTCAGCGCGTGGATAATTGGGTAGTGACTGACACTGTACGTCGATGGAGATAACCCTTAATACCGTCGACGTGAAACGATTCACGGATATAAATCTATCATAAACTTACCATCCAAGTTCCAAGACCAATTTGAGGCATTGTTTTGCCATTGCTGAAAGTGAGAGACGGAACGGCCATCATCGTCGCGACCTTAAATTACAGTCAAGTCGCACTGCCAATCTTTTCAACATCTAACGGGTCAGTTAAGGGTCAGTTAACATCGGTCTATAGGTGGCACTGCACTGTTCACACCTACATCTCATCGTTTTGAAACATTCTACCGACACGACAGGTACGAGTTGTATTCAAGACGGCAATCACCACAGTCAGCTGGCGCACACGTGATAATAAAATAAATACGATATTTACTATATGGAGCCGCCATCTTGAATGCAGCATAAAACTAAATAATAAGTTGTAAAACGCGTTTTTCGGATTCCTACAAATCAGGATAATATTAAGCCAGCCGATAACAAAATTCGGCCGAATTCGTCGTTATTGTGTGGAAAAATCCCTTAAATACGCACACCTAATTACACGAAGAACCACAGGGAGCCCAGGAACTTTCCTGTGATATTTGAAACTAAAAATTGTCATTCCAGCTCAGCAGCCAATCAGCGATGGTCGTACAGTAAAATGACAATTTCGGTTTCAAATACCCCAGGAAAATGTTCTATGTTCTTCGTGTAATTAGGTGTTCGTATGCTGTCGATGTTTTTTTTGGCGGAATAGTGAGAATTGACGCCTTTCCAAACGACTCGAAGGTGTGACGCCAGTAAACGAAAGCCACAAAATCAATGATAAAAAGTAGGAACGGACAATCTCCTTATACCGTAGATTCCTGTGCAGAACAAACGTCTTCATTTATAAAAGAGTTCCATGGCGGCACTTCAATCGACTTCATCGACCACAATACAAGTGACTGTGATTGTGATTATGACCAGCTACGCCAGAAGGGATACATTTCGTATCTAACTCAACCCTGTACGATAAACTTGATTATATATGTTCTTTGTGGTCTACTCTTCCTCGAGAAACAAATACATGAGTGGCAATTTAGACAAAGATGAGAAAATTAAATAAGAAATGTGCTTTATATACATTATCGGCAATGCACGCTTACCAAGTTCTGCAAGTGGCACTGACGTCACAGACCGTCGAGACGTTTTTGTGACTTGTGTCTCGTCGAAACCTATTTTTTACACTTGCGTCTCGTCGTGGCTTATTTTTTATGACTTGTGTCTCGTCGAGACTTGTTTCTATTTTTGAGAATTGTGTTTCTTCATCCTCGTAACATGATATACGCTGTCTTTCCCACAAGATATTTGAATTTGTATGACCTCTGTATTGCAAATGGTAGCCAATCACAAATACCCATCATACTTGCACAATACCAACAATTAAATAAAATGTTATTGCATTACAGCATGTAAACTTTGTAATGAAACAATTTTGTCGCGTTTATGTTTCGATACAACCTCACAAGCTTTCAGCTTCTCACTTTTCTTTCAACTGTTACAACACCACCAAATCAACCTCCAGATTTTAACGTTTAGCTCTTTAGCAATTTTTTTCTTCCAAAGTTTGAAGCAAGAAGTATTAGTACGGTGAAATAATAGACCAATTTCTGTTCACTGCGAGATCCCGCGTTATGCGTGAAATCGAACGTAAAACAGGGCAAACAAAAGTCATAGCCTCGTATAGTCTCGCTTGCCAGACCTCTGGTCTGACTGAGTTTTACGAAAGGGCGCCTCTCGCGGCGAAGCCGCGAAAGCGAGGTCGTCA